TTTTGTCTGGTATATACCCCTGAGGTGGTGGAAGTGTAACCGGGGTTATGCTAAGTAATCTGCAAGGTAGTATTGTTTACAAATTCCCTTGGTAAAAATACGTTCAAACAATGAGGATAAAAACGAGATGCTATCTGTGTGGAAGGTTATTTATGATGTTCCCGTAATGACAGCATTTCTGGGAATAGCAGTAATTGACGTGGCAGTTGGCTGGGAGGTGCATTGTGGGAGTAGATCAGGTTCACTCGGTCAATCGCTGAAGTTCTCTGCATGTATGAGAGTGCTTTATTTTGCATTCATCTCCATGTTAACCCACCCTGTGGGGATTCCAGAGCGGAATAGATCCACTACTCATATTTTTGTCATACTGTTGATTAATATGGGGAAGGAATGGTTTTAATATGCGCGTGCCATGCTGGCTTGTGTGTCTTTGTACTCGGATGATATTAGGCGATGGTCGTGCTGTCAACCACTGGTTTGTTTCGTCAGGGTTTAACGAAATACAATTGAGTGTACCGTAAAACAATATTCATTCAAGCAATGCCAACAGTGAGAACAGACATAGAAACTTAAAAATATGTATTCAGTTTAAATGGAGCAGTGCACACTAATTTGGAACATTTGCAGAATAAGATTTCTGTAGAAAAATGTCATTGAATTATGTCAGTATTAGTTACTATTTTCTGTGAATTCCCACAAAGTCATGGTTAAGTGTCTTCACAATGGTCATCTATACATTGACTTGCTTAACAGTTGTATGTGTAGAAACTTAAACCCCCATATTAGTATAAATGAATATTTCGGTTAACATGGCCCGCTTGTTCAAAGCCATCTTGGCACTGAGATGATCGCAACTCCCATTCTTTAACATAAACTTAAATAGTCTTACTGCTAAGATGAACGTAACTCCCATACTATAAAATAGACTAAACTAGTGTTAGCACTAAAACTGCTTTGTGCAAGTGGTCCTAGTTGTCTTATGGTTGTCATAATTGTCTTGTTAGCAGGTTTTGACAAATAAATTGCATCAGTGTTGGCTGGTATATCAGCAGCTCAATCCAGATCTTTCACCTTTTCTATATATTACTCCCTGACCCCATCGGGACAAGTAGATATCATGACAACATTGTCACTTTTATGTCGAGACTGTCTCCTCCGATCCAATCCTTATGAATATGCCTTTGTTCTTGGTGGTTTTAAACGGTACTAAATGTGGGATGTGCTGTTGGGCTTTGAGAAGATCTCTGAGGGATTCATCCATCATAATCTGTCACACGCCTGCCATTTGTGTCATGCGATGTAGGAATAGTGTTGTCACAGAAAAGATCCATGATTAAGCTCCATCCTTGATGGATTTGTCCATACTCTGATACAGCAGTAAGTGTGACTTTGATGTCAGGGACCTAAGCCATATTAGATGCGTTCAAATTAAATGCTCAATAAAATACGGGTTCGTTTTGGGTGGGACTGTTGTGCAATTGTAATAACTTATACACAGGTACATGTTATTGTGTAATATTGAATTCAGTCAGTGGAACCTGATGCTTGAATGAGTGTCATTGTTGTGTTTCACCAGTGCAAGGAATATTAACGTTGCCATGAGCAACAACAAAAATCATTCTAATGTAGTTGGTAGAAAGTAATTGAAAGATCAGCTTTGAATAAACACTGTTAGCAAAGGACTTGGCTTGTTGACTGTGGTGGGAAGTTTAATATGGTAGGGTTGTTTTGGTCTCTCTCTCGGGATTTGCCTGAACAATATCTTGGCTCCCGAGCGCTCTACTGCATGGAGGTCAATAAAGGTGGTGATGCTGTCAGTCCAAGTTTGTTCGTTAATTCGGGCACCAAGAGGAAGGCCAGCATACTAACACAACAGTGCTGCCCTCCAGTAGCTGAATTGTGTTTGTCTTTTTCGGGAAATCGGGAAATGTCTTTGTAGATGAGTTTGTCAAGTCCAAGATGAATTTTGTCTATCCATCCAATTTGGCACGGGTTGTTTGGACAGCATTGTGAAACAATGGAATATTGTGAGCTGGCAAATTATTTCTCATGTGTCGCCTCCACTGTGAATGTTGAGAAAAGACAGTATTACATTAACAATTTTCGCCAACCAGCCAAAAAGGCAATTTTGAAGTTGCGAAACATTCATCAATTGGTGAAGTTATTATTAAAATTTGGAGCTCCCAATCTGTCAAGTGCTGAGGGCCATGGGGAATTGGGGAAAAGAAATCAAGGAATAAGAACGTGTGAAGTAAAGAATTGAAATTACTTCATTTTGTTTTAAATTTGACAATTTTAGAATGTGAGTATTATTGTTCAAAATAGAGAATTTTGAAAACAGATGTGTCTGCTGTATTGCGTAAAAATGCAAAGTTTACTCTTTATATTAACTGCCTGGGAACCTGGTAGAATGGTAGGCCTACTCCATTGCAATAGGAACAGTGGGTTGGCTTCAGCTATCCCCATCACACAGACCCACAGACAAACAAGCTGATATGGCATCCCTGCATCTTTAAAGAACACTTGCCAAGAAATTTACTAAACATTGTACTTATGGAACATAAACAGATAGAATTTCGGAGACAGATAGACTCTTTATAGCACGGTGAAGTTGAACTTTGTCTGGCAGTGATGGAAGCTGTGGGTGGGGATATGCAAGTATATACCACTTACAGAACCTCACTAGTTCAAGGTTATGTCGGGCAGGATGTTGTTGAGGATTATTGACAGGCATTGTGGTGACTTTTCATGGCATTTTGAACAGATTGTTGCACAGCCAGATTGCTGTGGTATTTCATGGTCGGATTCATGGAGTACATTTCATGGTGATAACCTTCCAGCTCTGACCTCCTAGAGGTCGCAGGCTCCAAGCAACTCCAGCAGTAGTTAGACCCTGTGAGGAGGCATGCATTATATATGACCACCTGGTGTACGCCCAGACAGAATATTAGGCAAGAGTTGATTAGGAAGCAGAGACTATGGTGTAACATACAATCAGGATGATGGGGTCCGATATCAGCGGGCTGGGGACTTGTGGTCCAACGTATATGCCAAGTCTCAGTCTTAACAAGGATTTCAGGTGTGAACTTAACTAGGATTTCAGGTGTGAATTTAACTAGGACTAAGGTGGAAACTTAACTAGGACCTAGGTGGAAACTTAACTAGGACCTAGGTGGAAACTTAACTAGGACTAAGGTGGGAACCTAACTAGGACTATGTTGGAAACTTAACTAGGACCTAGGTGGAAACTTAACAAGAACTAAGGCGGGAACTTAACTTGGACTGAGATGGGAGCTGAGATAGGTCTTTTGGTGTGAACATTCCTATTCCTATTTCTATTCCTTAGGGATGGGTATTGGAGGCTAACAGTGTATCACAATATTTTGCGATGTACACGACCATATTCCAATACATATCATGATATATTTCTAAATTTTTAACAATCTGATGCATTGAAGTATGAATTGAAGTTCATAAATGGAACAAAATAAGATGCTGGTACAACATAGTTTTTACTCAGTCAATAAATACGCAGCCATCTTGGGGACCAGGATGCATACTGCGGGGCAGTGAAGGCATTTGGCAGGAAAATAACATTAAACACGTCATAAAAAAAACTATTTAAAATCACCCGATATATCCAGCTTGGAAAATTAATATTGTGATACGTATCGTGGGAAAAATGTTCCTGAGTGTACCGATATACCGATAATACTGCACACCCTTACTATTCCTTGATACTCTTCACTTGTCAGATCTTGTCTGGAAGTTCCATGATTGCTGATGATAAAGTATGGCTTGTGTACTGTAGACTCTGAGCTGTTAGCCAGCAAGCTATACGTGGGGCTTTGCCTTGAACCTTTCTTGACAAAACCTGACTCGAGGAAGCACTGTTTCCATTTCAATGTGTAATACCACGAAGAACATATTCTTCCTCAGAATGATAGTTTGTGGCATATATCAACCATTAATCTCATGTCATCTCCATATATACCAGCTTACCTATATCTGCCTATCAGAACACTATGCCAGATACATGTTAGCCAGTGTTTTTGAGGGGATGTGATAGGACAGGTCACTCTTCTCATCTCCTGGGATAGAAGCTCCAGCAGGCGTTCAACACATCTGGCCACCCATTATCTTAATCGTCCAATCAAAAGGTCTTTAAGTCATTGGTACATTTGACCTGGTTATATACTAATTATGTTGGACATATTCAGCAGTTATAGGCCGGGAATTCCTGGTGAACTTTCCAGGAAGGCAGTACATCACCCACACGCAATTCAAATTTTGCTGAGGCCACTTAAAATGTGAACTCTTCCATTTATCCCGCCTTGTTGGCTGACCTACATTATGATTGACAGACGATTATCCGATAAAAGTGCAGTAAAAATGTAGCTGCTGTGGGAATTTCAAATTGACAAACCTGATGGACTGTTATGAAGAATTTGCATGTGGCAACTCCTTTTTTTAAACATGTAATAATTCCCCCCCCCCCCCCCCCCCCCAAAAAAAAAATAATGGAGATGTAACTATGAAAAAAACATGTTTTTTTGTTGTTATATACGGCCTTTTATTAACATAAGTTAAACATTTAGTGTTTCATTTAGCCTTGCAGTTAGCCAAGAGCATGATTGTGTTGGATTGTGTAGTTTTACTTGGTAAAATGGCAAAATGACAGTTCTGATAACATGGGAAGTCTGAGTTATGGTTAAGGACTTGTTTTGAACAACTGTAGATACATTTTGTAATATTGTAACTTCCTATCTGGTGTGTGTTGATGAATGTAGCATGTAGTATTTTTATGTCTTTTTTTATATCTTTATAACTGTTTTGCAAATGCTGTTTAAGTGTTAATGAAATAGAATATCTGGAAAAGTGAATCTGTTGATGTGTTTTGGCACAAGGAAATGTTTTGATTTTCGGTGATATATGTTATGTTTTGTGAGACTCTCAAGAGTTAATGCAGTATCTTAATAAGTGGTCTTTTATTTTTGCAGATTGAAGACGCGATGCTTATGTTTGACAAGACAACCAACAGACATAGAGGTTTGTGTGTTAACATAGCAACTGTTGCATCATGGGTACTCACAAATAAACAAGATGGCTTGTAAGATTGGGACATTGAGATCCTATTCACGTGAATGGGGAGAGGGGGTCTATCATTTTGGCAATGGAGTGGATCTATCAGTTGTATCCAGCAACTTCGCTCATCAACAGCACTGAAAATAAAGAAACACATTAGTTGATGAGGGAAAGTTCGGAATCATTTTGCCCGTAATAGGTTTCTCTGTCCAATGCGTAACATACATCTGATTTTACACTCCATTAATAGAAGCCCTGGTCAGAGATGACGGAAGAAGAAAAATTAGCATGAAACATGCTTCTGTTCTAGACATTTTTGTAACCTTTCTCACCCAGTCTGAGTTCCCACGAATAGATGCATCTGCAGGGGGGGTACCGCCCACTGAAACTGAACACACTGAGAAAAGCAAAGGCAAGAATCAGGATGTTGCTTTTGTGTAAGACAACCCAGCCCATGAGACCCTGTGTTGTAGGACTAGCATATGATGATATTTGGACAAATGTTCACCCCTAACCCTAAATATTTCCAGTAAATGTCAGCAGGAATTTCAGAAACAAATAGACGGGTCAGTTTCAAGGGAAGATAACCCGGGGTGCGGCCTGGTTTGGGGGGTTATGTAAGGGGGTGACAGGGAGGGAGTTGCTATTCCACACTGAGTTCTTCTGGAGCTGTAACACTGACAGGGTAAATTAAGAATTTCTAAATATTTACACAGTAGCACATAAACAGTGCAAAGAAGAATTTTATATTTTTGGCTGTGTAGGAGAGTGATTAGGGTCAGGAAAAAAGTGAGGAGTTGTAAGGAAAGTATTATCTGAAACTGAGCTATCAAGTTACTAAATATGATGGGCAACTGCTGCCAAGGCTGCTGATTATTTCTGCAAATGGCAGAAAGCTTTATCCCAGGAAGTTTATGATTTGAACGGCAGCTAGAATAAACAGCTGGTGTTTAAACTTGGACTAGGGGGAGGAGCAGGAGGGGTAGGGCCAGAGGGGGAACCGGCTGGGTGTGGGTTTGCTTGTAGCCAGATCTGTGCCAGACACGCAGAGGAACCTCTAGCAGACATGTGCACTGTATCATGTAGGTTGCTGCTATCATGATGTATGGGCAAAGTATGTCTCCCTGAACTGAAGAGGTTATTCCCCAGTGTTAAACCCTAGCGTTGCTCCCTTATCCTATGTTAACAGTAGCAGTAAGCATCCCAACTGCCCTCTAGGAGGGTCGGTGCTGGAAGTCTCGGCCTGTTGACTGCCTCGTTACTAGCAGCTTTCTCTCACATTCTCTGCATAGTAGTTGGTAGGAAGACAGCACTTACATACCATGCTATTACTTCTAGTCAATGCTCACTGCATCCCTCCGCTAAATGTTCATCTTTTACCCATCATGCCGCTGAGCAAGGTGTATTATATGCGTGGATGAGGGGTGATTTGTAGTAGGCATGCTTATTAGCTGTAGAGGCAATATATGATCAGCTTTGCTGACAGTCTGGGTAGGAGTGAGCCAAGGAGACTGTACCCCGACAGTAAGGCACTCCAGTTCCGCTCGGAGTTCGGGGGAGTTCCAGGCCCAGTTCGGCTGCTTCTTGTATTAGAGATGCACTGTAGTTGTAGATGTTTCTCATTGTTCTAAAACCTTACATGATGTATATCTGGTGATTGCTGTAGTTGGGGTAGATGACGTTGCCGCCATAGTGGTGGTGTCGTAGTTGTAACAGCAACTGTAGTAGACGTAGCTGCTTTAGTCGCTTCATGGTTCTGTAGTCCTAGAAAGGTGATGACTGTAGTCTTCTTGGTTCTTATAGCTGATAGTTGTAGTTAGATCTAGATAGACCATTTCAGGTTTGTGATTTTCTCATGGAGGATATTCTATTCTGGAGTACTTAGGCTGCGTCGTTCCTTGGAGTAGCGGGATGCCTGGTGTGGATTGTAATGAGAATGGTGTCAGATAATTACTACGATCATGACAGGCACAGAGCTGCAACATGTGTGTCCTCCTCGTATGCAGCAACTATTAAGAGTCCAAGTATGTGCCACCTCTAGGTGTTTGCCATTAAAGCATCAATTGGCGTCATTCTATGACTCTAGTTAGTGTCCACGTTGAAGATGATTGTTTGGGTGGCCGACTTCATGTGATAATCTTTGGAGTACTGATCGTGAGGATGCAAAAGCCTTTTGCAAATGACAGAAAACTGAGCTAGATTGAATTAATGGCCGAGACAAAGCCAAGTTGTGATTTGGGTTTGGAGACAACTGTCAATGTTTGTGAAGGAAGTAATTTTCCACAAGGACGTCACATCACTTGAGCTGGAATTGATCGGTGGTTTTGGCGTCTGGTTTTGGATGGCAAATCACAATATTTCGGAGGAGTCTGAGCGACCATCTTTGCCTGGAGATGGAGTCAATATCGCGGTGTTTGCCCAAGTTGACAGCGTAGCGAGGTGAGAACACCATTCTGTCTTCTGGTGGACGATGGCGACGACATCTGGGCAAGTCTGGCTCCGCTTCACGCTTCATAGAAAGTAGTTCCGGTGTATGTAGAAAGTAGTTCCAACAGTAGCATATATTTGAACATTCATAATGTTTTTGTTATGTCAATAAGTCATTTTAAAGAGTAGATTTAGATTGTCAGAGTTGGCAATATGCATGATAGAATTATGACATGTCTTACATATTTTCATTTATATCTTTTTGAATATATTTTTGCATCAAAATGAAAATGAATTGGAAAACATCAAGAGACCAATGCAATGCATTTTATTTTTAATATGATTATATTTCACTTGATAATTTTGGTGAAATTGTTCATACATAACAATGCATTCAGTGGGGGATAATGGGTACTTCAAAGGAAGAGGCGATGTATACGATCCTGACTTTGTGTCTCACAATACGCTGTCGATTGATCGCTGCTAGGTACTGCTTGAGACACAACTGATTCCAGTAATAGAGTGGGTGAGGCAGACAGTATTAGCAGAGTAAACAGGCATACCACCATAGATAAATGGACTAAATCAGGTTATGGTATTGGAACGTGTTCATCTAGATGGATGAGTGTATTCTATTACACAAAATAAGCAATGGCGGGCCACAAATGAAATCTATTCCAATTCGGACTAACTATCCATGTGGATGCAAGTCGGCATTTATGCAGGATACCTACCATGATTCATTTACATCCAATATTTCTCGATAAATTTATTGAAACATCATTCGTGAAGATAAGTACTGTTTCGCCTGCGATCCCACCGTTTGACAAGCTAGGGTGGTATATATGAGGACCGGAAAGGCTTCGATGCATGTGTAGAGATGTTGATTTCTGAAGAAAGATGCACTGATCAATATGGTGTAGTTCTAGGTGACCTCAATACGATCCGAGGCGGTATTCCCACTGGGGCTAAGTACGTCATGATGGCCATTGATTGGGAACTTGTAATTCCCCTGGGCCCGCTCTCTTGTCTGCCCGACATGCAGCTTTCCCTACAACAGGTTTTGCATTAGTGTATATATGACCTTCACTCCCACCCACAAATTGCTAAGAGACATCTATTTCGAGAGCTTGCTCAGACACCCTGTATGGCAAATCTAGAACATGTTCTCAGACCATTGAAAGTATTGTACAGATTCTGGTCAGGTTTTTCTTTTGTAGGAATAGTCACTATTTGTTGTGTGTGGCAACATTTATTTGAATCAGTGCGCGGGTTGGGTAATAATTTCCTGGCGACTGCTGCTGTTATTTGCGTGGAACTGTTCGCCACAGCTATCAAAATAAAAAGTAAATATTTTCCTAATTGATTCAGTTCAGCGGTGTGATTAATTTCTGACTTTTGTTATCATTTGAAGTTGTCAGCAACCCAGTAAAAATATCGTTAAAAGTTAGAAAAGTTGATGAAGAAAAAGTTCACAGGAAAAATCGTAATGGAGAAATATGTTATCTTGTGACAAGAAGTGGAATCTCTAGTGATGTGTCTCAGACTGACTCGTATGTATGCTGAAAATATACAAGACCTGTGTAAGCCATATAACAGACGTATTAACACAGCCTAACAAGGTCGGGAGAAAGCATAAACATGCATAGAGCCACATAACGGATATAGGAACTACTAGTCTCACAAGATGGGGATTGAATAGTCTCACAAGATGGGGATAGAATAGTCTCACAAGATAGGGATTGAATAGTCTCACAAGATAGGGATAGAATAGTCTCACAAGATGGGGATTGAATAGTCTCACAAGATGGGGATAGAATAGTCTCACAAGCTAGGGATAGAATAGTCTCACAAGAGAGGGATTGAATAGTCTTACAAGATGGGGATAGAATAGTCTCACAAGAGAGGGATTGAATAGTCTTACAAGATGGGGATAGAATAGTTTCACAAGATGGGGATTGAATAGTCTCACAAGATGGGGATAGAATAGTCTCACAAGCTAGGGATAGAATAGTCTCACAAGATAGGGATTGAATAGTCTCACAAGATAGGGATAGAATAGTCTCACAAGATAGGGATTGAATAGTCTCACAAGATAGGGATTGAATAGTCTCACAAGATGGGGAAAGAATTCAAGACCTGCGTAAAGCTCTATAACGGAGGTGTAAACTCATATCACAAGCTCCAGAGGTCAAAAGAAAGGAAAAAAACGAGCCAGCTATTTTTACAAGCATCACTGAACACCAAATCCTGGGACACATTGTGGACAATAGGCAGAGTATAGGCACACGAGTATGGGTTGTGCTCCATTGCCGTCGTCTTGTCGTCCACGGATAAAGCGGCTTGCTGATCAGCCCTGCATGGGGCCCATCGGCCTTGCTGGCATTGTCACCCATCACAATGGATCCTCCTCATCCACTGATATGTGCTAACAGTCCTGCGTGGAGTTTAGCTTCTATTCCTCTGTCATAGGGTGGCTTTTTGTGAAGGTTATTTGAACTTGCAAATTAGGATAAATTGAACCAAACCTGGTGTTA